TTTATATTCATACATTTATGGACTAACTTTGAATACCCCTACTCCAGTTTGGGGCAGGCATACCAAATGGTGGTGATTGCAAAGCATTTTTGGAATAGGGCTGTGATCTGCCTGGCTGCTCAGCTCACTCCATAAATATCTGTCTGTGCACATCCCCAAATCAACTGGTCTTCATGCCAATAAATTTGTTTCACAGGAGGGATTTCAATGTTTGGCTTCCTGGCTCAGATCTTGACAGCCTGCATGGGCTCATTCTGAAGCCAACTTTGCCTGAGAACCCAAGAGTTGTGGCACAGAAGTTATATGAAACAGGTCATTTTTTAGTCCACTTGATCCTGGGAGGCCATTCCTATAAGAAGAGCCCCAGTGGCACCTTTTCACCTCTTCATCCCATCCCAAACCCAACACCTTGTTCTGATATGATGTCTGAGTTTTGACAAAACAAATTCTATCTATTTGATGCCCAAGAAGACAGTGTGAGTTAATGCCCCTTTGCCAATATGATCTCCTTGCACCTGTTGTTGAAGATGACAATGATTACAAACTTGAGGTAGACTTGGTTTTTTGAAAAAGGCAAAGCAGGTGATGGAGAAACCCTTCCCTGGAAGTGATCCTGCTAAGCCGCTTTCTGGCAGTTCAACTACCCTGATCAATTAGGTGTCCAAAGATACTAAAGATTTCACAAAAACTCTTCCAACATGGGTGGTTGGATCTACAGGGTGGCTTGTGGGCAACGTGACATACTAGAAGGGCTATTGAGAGGTGAGTCACATACCCCTCCTTTCATTGCACAACCTATCCAGAAACAAAATTGCAAACGGTATCCAACTTTTGTTTGTTTGGATTAGTTAACCGGCGCTACAATAAGGGTTGCTGTAATTTTACAAGACATATGTCTTGTAAATCAGATGGTTTGTAAAATTAAATTTTTATGGGGGTAATGTATAATTTTACAAACCATCACCCAAAAATATGGGTTGCAACCCTTATGTCTTGCAAACAATATGATTTGCAAAAGTAAATTTTTTCCTCATTTAATGGAATTTTGCAACCATTAGCTTTCAACCCATATATGAGTTGTAAATTATGTTGCACAACATGGTATGTAAAATTGAATTTTACAAACCATATTTTGCAACCCTCCAAAAAAAAAAAAAAAAGAGGGAGACACAAAAATCAACACAAAAAACAAGCTATGTAAAATTGAATTTTACAAACCTTGTTTTGAAACCCTCCAAAAAAAAAAGGAGACACAAAAATCAACACAAAAAACAAGCTATTTAAAATTGAATTTTACAAACCTTGTTTTGAAACCCTCCAAAAAAAAAAAAGGAGACACAAAAATCAGCAAAAACAACAGAAATCAAAAAAAGGATAAAGGAAAAGGACACAGCCTCAAAAAACAAGAAAAGGCAATCAAAAGAGAAAAAAGAAAGACAGCCTCAACAAAAGATAAAGACACAGCCAAAAAAAAATCAACAAGCAGATCAAAAAGAAAAAAAGACAGAGCCTCAAACAGAATAAAAGGAAATGTGAAGTCAGTCCAGGAGAAAAATCTTTCAATCTCATTTTTTCTTTCTCACTGATTGTCTTGAAGCCCGGGTTTGTCCTTTGGAACTTGGAGGCAATTGTTGCTCAGGTGGTTTAAGTATGACCTTGAACCGTATGGGAGGTTTCTGAGGTACTTCTTCATCTTCTTCACTGTTTTTCACCAGAGTTTGAGTAACATGATCATCTGTTTCATCCGCTGTGGTGTTCTAAACGGTACAGGCCCCCTCAAGGTCCAATTTCAGAATTCAACTTTCAACTCTTCAATATCCTCAAGACTCAAGATTTCAATATTATCACCTCAAATCCCCACTCAGTCCAATGGTTTCCTCATTTTATTATTTTATTCCATTTCCTCTTATTATTTACTCTTCATGTTATTTTTTATTCATCTTGATTTAATTTAATTTTTATTTTTTATCATTTTATTATTCTTACTTATCTTTTTCAAATCATTTACTCAGAAAGACAGTGTTGTTTCTTATTTCTTGGTCCTAAGACATAGTTTCATTTATGTTGGTTTATTCTGATCTTGTTTTGTTTTGTTCTGTTCTGTCTTTTTTCTGTTGTGTGTTGTTGTGTTGTGTTGTGTTGTGTTGTTTTTGTTTTTTGGTTGAGTTGTGTTGTAGTTAGGGATGTGATGACATGTCTGTGACATGTCACTCCCCAGAGTCAAAGTTCAGTTTGAACTGAGATGATGGGGAGGCATGGCATTCTGATCTGATCCAAGATAGACCCATCAAATTTTATTGATCTTTTCATTCTTGATACTTCTGATCCTCCTACATATCCTCAAGTTCACTCAAACTCAACAACCGCCACAGAACTCAATTTCTGTTGTCTCCTCTCAGAAAACCAGCCAACCCCAACGCTTTTTTTTGTTCAGATCACAGCTCAATTCATCCGGACCCCACTTGAAGGCAGCCCTCAAAGCACCATCCCTTCAACCAACTGCCTACCGCCTGGCACGATAGGAGTTCCACACCGCTAGAGACTGATCACCAGTTTGATTGCCAAGAGCAAAAGATTGATCACCGCCGTCTTTGGCAGTATGAATGCCAAGAGAAAAAGATTGATCACCGCTGTCTTTGCCATTATGATCGCCAAGAGAAAAAGATTGATTGTTACAATCTTCGCCACAAGATTGATCACCAAGAGCAAAAGATTGATCACCATGGGATTGGCCAAGAGATTGATTGCCAAGCACAAAAGATTGATCAACTTGAGATTTGCCAAGAGATTTGTCGCCAACGGAGAGGAATGATTCATCTATTTCCAGTTGTACTTCTGTATCCAAGGAACACTGTTGTTTGATGTCTAGCTCTTTTTAGTCTGGTGCAATCTGTGCATTATTTTGAGAGGCAAGTTGTGCAATTGAAGTACATAGTTCCTTTGGCTTTAACTGGAGCTGTGTATTTTTTTGAGCATTACCTTTAGTTTTTGCATGTGATTTTCCTCTGGCCTGGGATGTGATTGTAGTTTCCAGTTGGAGGAGTAGGCTTCACCTTGTTTGTGGCGGTGTGGGGAATGAAATTAGAGCTGTGTGATGTGGTCAAAATTGACTTAATCTCCTTGAAAGGGAAATTTCCAGCTGCTTCTGGATTTTTGGCTACAATTTTCTGAATCGCGTTGTTGACATACTCTTCCTCCAAAGGTGTGAAAACGTGCGAGTAAAGGAGCCAGCTTGTGTTTTCTTCCACTCCGGCTATAGAACTTGGAGCCCGATTGATCTGTTGATCATACCCATCATTCTCTGTGTCGTTGTGTAACCAAACTGCGGTCAAATTAACCTTGTTGGCTGAGATGTTAGCACTTCAAAGCACCTTACACCAGTAGTGGTTATGTCGCCAGTAGCCTTGCAATATCATAGTGTAAATGGCACCTCCAACGTTAATATTGAACGGCCAATCAATTGTTCCCATAAAGTTATATTGCTGCTTTGCATCATTTATACCCTGTGACATCTACATAAAAATTAAGATGAAGTGGGACACCAGTTGCTGGGACAGCCAATTTGGATCAATCAATTATGTGGTGCAATGTGTTTTCAGAGGATCCAAGTAACTTGATAATGTTGACATCGGATGAAACTTTTTGAAGTTTGGCGTTCTTAGGGAGCTTTGGTTTTGGTTGGTTTGGATTGCAGTGTTTGCAGATCATACCTGATGTAGCCAGCAATCCTTTGGTTTGCCACATCTCGATTAGCTTTGATATATCAGAGTGAGTTATCCTATTCTCATCAAACATGTGCGGCTTGATTTTTTTTTTTTTGGATGTGTCTTTATAATCTTTTGTTGAGGCTGTCTTTTTTTTCTCTTTTGATTGTCTTTCATTTTTTTTGAGGCTGTGTCCTTTTCCTTTATCTTTCTTTTTGATCTCCTTGTTGATTTTTTTTTGGCTGTGTCTTTATCTTTTTTCCTGCTTTTATTTCTTGTTGAGGCTGTCTTTCTCTTTCTTCTTTTGATTGCCTTTTATTGTTTTTTGAGGCTGTGTCCTTTTCCTTTATCCTTTTTTTGATTTCTGTTTTTTTTTTTTTTATTTTTGTGTCTCCTTTCTTTTTTGGAGGGTTGCAAAACAAGGTTTGTAAAATTCACTTATCCCCTACAATAAGTGGTGGAACAATCCCAAAGGTCACAACACTTTTACTCTTTAAATTGTTGATGAGGCTCCCACGGTATGTCACCCACTCTAAAATTGTCAGCCTACGTGATGCCAAGAGAAAGACTCTTCTAGCTACACTAGGTGCAAAGGTAGAATAAAATATGTAAACATGTAGATGACACGTGGGAAGTGGGCAAGGTTTGGTAATAAAAGAAAAGGAAATAAAAACTATTAAGTTTTTATTCACAGATGGGCCTGAGTTACAAGGGTATTTACTGTTCCTTCTAAAATCAGGTCCTGTAGAACAGGGGTGGTACTGATGTTCTGGTCCTTTATAATAAAGGAGTAAACCCAGAAAAGCCCAAAACTGAAGTGATAAAGAGATAATACTTACTGATACTTATCTCTAAGCCAAGGGGAACTTCATTGACATGGTTTTTTAATTAATTTTTACAGGCTTATTATTCATTATTTTTTCAAATTGTAAATTGATTTCTTACATATTGAGAGGTTTAAAAATTTATGGTCTTATCCATTTTGCATAAAAATCAAAGGATTACTTCTAATAGGGGGGTTAACGATAGCTTTTTTGGCTTCTGGCCCCCCTTAAAAAAATTCTTGCTGGTCATGTTTTTGGCCTAAAATTTAGCCTAAAAAGAAAGACAAGATCAACAACCAGCATCCATGACTCACTGCTGGTCATCAACCAATGGCCATTATACTCACCGGCATCAATCACCAGTATTGATCAGTCATGGATGGTGGAACACTACTCATTGCCCTCAATGACAATCGATGACCAGTACTATTCAATCATCAATGACCTATCAATAAAGGTCATTGATTGGTCATCAATAGTGTACAACCATCCCATCAATGACCGACCGGTCATCACCATCAATGACTGACCGGTCATCTTCATCAATGATGGACCAGTCGACTCCATCAATGATGGACCGGTTGACTCCATTGGTGAACAACCGGTCATCACCATTGATGACCAACCGGTAATCACCATTGATAACCAACCGGTCATCACCATTGATGACCGACTCTTCTTCATCAATGATGGACCAGTCGACTCCATCAATGATGGACCAGTTGACTCCATGAATGATGGACCAGTCGATTCCATCAATGATGGACCGGTCAACTCCATTGGTGACCAACTGGTCATCACCATTGATGACCAACTGGTCATCACCATTGATGACCAACAGGTCATCACCATTGATGACCAACAGGTCATCACCATTGATGACCAACTCTGACCAGTCAGCACCATCAATGGCTGACCCAAAATGGTGATGACCGTTGTGGTAAATAATACTGTGTTTCTACGCAGAAAATATAAAAATTTCTTATTATCTCTTTATTCATTCAAGATATGGTAAGATGACATCAGAAATGGAATTCTCAGGTAAAATTACCCCTAGTCACCCACTACAACTGACCCCATATCTCTCATAGTTTAGAAGTTACACAGATTTCAACCTGTCACGGGATGTCTTTTGGATTCTTTACTCTCAGTATGGCTTGTTTTGGATACTGCATGCATATTGAATATTGAACTCCTATGTGTTGTATTGAATTCCTTTTTTGGCACATAGTGCATATTGAATTCCTTTGTAGGTGCACATGCATTCCTTTGTAGTAGGACCTTGTAGGCTAGCCAAATTCCCTCAAGGCAGTGCTCTCACCAGCCAAATTCCCTCACCTGCATGTACTAGACTAGCTAAAATCCCTCATTGGATCTTCAGGCCAGCTAAAATGCCTCAAAAGCCTGTACCCTGGGGCTAAAATCCCTCACATTTGTCTATATAAGGAGGCCTCTGCCTGCCAGTTGTTCCCTCCATCATCCCACCAGTGGACCAGATCATCTCAACCACCCTTACAGATTATATACAAGTGACAGCCATAACAATACATTATATTGAAATACAACCATAACAGTTTCATCATCATAACAAGTGCCAAGTGCCCATAACCTGCCTCACATACCATTACTGGTTGAAGCATAGCGCTCCCAGAGCTCCAAGCCTTGGTATTAAAGCTTTGAACAACAACTCCATCAATATAATCATCACTCATTTATAACTTCAGACCCTATACACA